TGGAGGACCAAGTGAGATAATTGGTGTAAATCCTTGGCACAAATCTAGGACACAGCAGGTGTGCAGCCATATTGGCTGTGGTTAGTCGGTCATTCTGAGGACAGCTCTGCTTTCTAGAGCAAGGTGGCGTGGCAGTCCCAAGAAGGACCTGCCACCTAAGAGAGGTGGGAGACCTGGAATCCCCTCACCAGGGGAGGCTGTGTGTCTCCAGGCAGTCCTACCAGGGAATTTCAATCCAGCAAGTGAAAGTCCCAGCCCCCGAGAGGAGACCCCCACTTGTCACAGGGAAATTGCATAACTGGTCTGAGGAGGAGAGCCAGGGAACACAGGTTCTGACTCGGACTTGGCAAGTCCCTTAGCTGTGTTCCTTCTTAGTTCTCTTGTTTATAAAGTTGGGCTCATCTCTGCCCTGCCTCATGGCCCAGGACAAATGAGGTCATGCTGACAAGCAAAATGAAGTCAGTAAAAATGTTTTAAAGGACTCTACAGAAATAAAATGAATTATTATCACAAATCATAAGAGAATGAATCTCCACGGCCCAGGGCAACCCTTGGAGATTTATTTGTGGGTAGAAGAACTTCTCTTTCCCGTTCTTTTCCAGGGAAGTTTTTTCCAGCAGTCCCTCTGCACCTTGGGGACAGAGTGGAGCTGAATGTCCCATGTAATTCACAGTCCTGTCTTCCACTCTCCCACTCATCCCTCCACTGGGAAATCTAAATGTATTTTTAGGGAACCTCATTCCTCCCGCCCCTGTTTCCTTTCCAGGGCATGCTTGGGAAAGTTCTTAGGAACTCAAGAACGGAGGCTGCTGTAAGGACACTCTCTTTGGCCTGGGCTTTGGTCCCTGGCCCACTTCCCCAGGAGGTCTGAGATGCCCCATGACAGTAAAAAGGAGAGTGAGAAAAGTCCATGTGACGTGTCAGGGAGGGGCAGCTGCCAGAGGCCCCCAAGGAGGGAGAATGAGTAAACAGCCCAGCAGCCATTCGCGGTCCCCCTGTTCCACTTGGGTGCAGGCAGTTCCGATTCAGAAAGCTGGGGGTGGGGCAGGCGGGTGACACACGCTCCTCTGGGAGTGGGATAAATAATCTGCAGCTATAACAATAAAGATCAATTATGACCTAATCGCTCAGCCCAATTCCAAAGGCCTCATCCTCCCTCTCCCTCCAGGTTGAATTATCTGAAGAGTCATGGACTTTTATTTCGTGTGTTTTGTTCTTTTTTTTTTGTTTGCACCTGGTTGATGTACAAGTCCTGAACTCTGGGAGACCCAAAAGAGAAAGAAGATCTGCAAATAATCATGCCAGGGGATGGCCTTCGGGACAGAGGTGTCCGTGGATGTGGGGTTGGGGGAGAGGATATGGCAGGTTCCCCCTTGGTAAATCTGTGTGGGTTGGGTTTGGGTGAGGGCAGAGAACCAGAGCAGAGGAGAGGAGGGAGCTGAAACAGACAAGTGTTCAGGGACAGGAAGAAGGTGGAGTGAGACCTAAGAGGCCTAATTCCCTGACTGGTAAGACAGGGAACATGGGGATCCCTTGTACACAGTTTTCCACAGTGCTCATGGCACATTTATTACAGGTGTTTTCTTTTAAAATATTTATTTATTTATTTGAGAAGGAGTTTCACTCTGTCGCCCAGGCTGGAGTGCAGTGGTGCAATCTCGGCTGACTGCAACCTCTGCCTCCCGGATTAAAGCAATTCTTTTGCCTCAGCCTCCAGAATAGCTGGGATTACAGGCAAGTGCCACCACACCTGGCTAAATTTTGTACTTTTAGTAGAGATGGGGTTTAACCATACTGGCCAGGCTGGTCTTGAACTCTTGACCTCGTGGTCCACCCACCTTGGCCTCCCAAAGTGCTGGGATCAGAGGCGTGAGACACCTTACCCTAAATATTTATTTATAAATATTATGGGTGTTGAAGACACTAAAAGAGCTCAGAACAACACTGAACAAGCCAGCAGAGCTGTTGCACTCACCGCTACAGTCTCTGTAGACACAGTCCATGAAAGCACTGGCCATCGGCTCTCACTGGTGCTGATAGGTCACCAGTGTGGTGGAGTTGTTTCTCTTTTTTTTTTTGAGACAGAGTCTCACTCTGTTGCCACGTGCGAGGCTGGAGTGCAGTGGCACAATCTCAGCTCACTGCAATCTCCACTTCCTGGGTTCAGGCAATTCTCCCGCCTCAGCCTCCTGAGTAACTGGGATTACAGGTGCACGCCACCATGCCCAGCTAATTTTTGTATTTTTAGTAGAGATGGGGTTTCACCATCTCTACTAAATCTCTTGACCTCATGATCCGCCCCGCCTTGGCCTCCCAAACTGCTGGGATTACAGGCTTGAGCCACCGCGCCCGGCCTAGAGTTGTTTCTCTCTCTCTGACACTGTATTAGTTCATTCTCACACTGCTATAAAAAGAAAACTTGGCTGGGTACGGTGGCTCACACCTGTAATCCCAGCACTTTGGGAGGCCAAGGCAGGCAGATTATGAGATCAGGAGTTCAAGACCAGCCTGGCCAATATGGTGAAACCTCGTCTCTACTGAAAATACAAAAAATTAGCTGGGCATCGTGGTGTGCGCCTATAATCCCAGCTACTCTGGAGGCTGAGGCAGGAAAATCGCTTGAACCAAGAGGCGGAAGTTGTGAGTGGAGATCACGCCATTGCACTTCAACCTGGCGACAGAGCAAGACTCCAATTCAGAAAAAAAAAAGAGAAAACTTGACACTGGGTAATTTATGAAGAAGAGAGGTTTAATTGGCTCACAATTCTGCAGGCTATACAGGAAGCATCGTGGCTTCTGCTTCTGGGGAAGCTTCCAATCATGGAAGAAGGCAAAGTAGGAGTAAGGAGCTCCACACGGCCACAGCAGGAGGAAGAAACAGTGGGGAGATGCTACACCCTTTCAAACAACCAGATCTCAAGACAATTTACTGTGGTGATAACAGTACCGGGGGGATGGAATTTAACCATGAGAAACTGCTCCATGATCCAATCACCACCCACCAGGCCCCACCTTCAGCATTGGGGATTGCATTTCAATATGAGATTTGAGCGGGGACACGTATCCAAATCATATCGGACACCATCCTTGGCAAAGTTTGGCCTGTTCAGCAATGCCTCTTGCCTCTACCTGACAGCAGGTGGTACCCACTGTGTATTGTCTCACACAACTTGCTCATGTCCACATTCTGTACAAGAGAAATCACTGAAATACATGTGTTCCCACAGCAGTGGCAAAGATCAATTTGACTCGATGATCGAAACCTGTAAAAGAATTCCTGGCACACAGGTTAAAAACTCTTGCTCGGTTTGGTTGGGCCCACTACTTTTCCTTAAAGGAGTTTTGTGGTTGCAATTCTTTATCTGGGGATGTCTTCCCTGGTCTTTGTCTTCAGATAGAGGTAACTAGAAGGTCCCTAATGGGATTTCCACATCTTCTTCACAATGTTTGACCCTACGTTCCTAAGCAATCCCTTTAGAATCATGGCCTATTAGAGCCTGAAGGAATAGTAGAGGTGATAGAATCCATTTTACAAATGAGGAAACTGAGGCATGGGGCAGGGAAGTGGCCTTCTGTCTTCTAGTTCGGTGCTCTTTTCTTACCCCAAACTGGCTCTCTTGACTCTCATTTGCTTTTTTTTTTTCTTTTCTTTTCTTGTTTGAGATGGAGTTTTTGCTCTCGTTGCCCAGGCTGGAGTGAAATGGCATGATCTCAGCTCACTGCAACCTCCGCCTCCCATGTTCAAGCAATTCTCCTGCCTCAGCCTCTCAAGTAGCTAGGATCACAGGCATGCGCCACCATACCTGGCTAATTTTGTATTTTTAGTAGATACATAGTTTCACCATGTTGATCAGGCTGGTCTCGAACTCCTGACTTCAGGTGATCCACCAGCCTAGGCTTCCCAAAGTGCTGGGATTACAGGCATAAGCCACTGCCCCCGGCCTCCCATTTACTTTCTAAATTATTTTCCACATTGGTTTTTGCTAGCTGGGTATACCTTTATTAGTGATCGTTTTGCATTTTCCTCCAAATCACACGTTTTTTTTTTTTTAAGACAATGTTGGAGGTTCACCCTGGCAGCCTGCAGGGAAGACAGAACACAAGTTGCCTGTGAGCCTGAGGCCCATCCCCCACCCTAGCGTTGAGGCTGCACTATGTTTTAAAATTACCTAGGTGTATTTATATATTAGCGTTCTTTTCTATTTTAAAAATGCTTTCCCATTGTGCTTGGCTCACTGGGGCAGTGCTGTTCTCCTGGTTGTGCCGATAGGCTTTTCAATCAAAGACGAGAACAAAAAAAATCCACATTTCTATTTCTTTATATATCTCTGCTTTTTCTGGAAAATAAATATTTGTTGAATTGAATTGGGAAAATTTTTGAGAAAAATGTTTTTGTACTTTGTGTGTTCTGCTGTTATTGTTATTGTGAAATAAGTGCTTTCAGTGACAGGCCTTTTGTTCTGGAAAGGGGGTTTTTGCATGGGGGAGGGGAGACATTCTGCATCCAGGGGACTCTGTTAGGCGTTTCAGAGTGGGAGTCAACTCCTGCCAGCCAGCAGTGGCCACTGTCTTCTCCTCTTTCTCTCTTCTTCTCTCTTTCTTCTTCCCCACCTGGTTTCTGCCCCAAATTCACACACTCACATCACCAAAGCCACTGCTAGCCTCCCCCATGCAGTGGGAGGAGAGCAGGACAGACAACGTTGCCTCCCCTGACTGCAGTCATGGGTTTGTGAGTCCATAGAGAGCAGAAGTCCAGGGAACCCATCTGATGCAGCGTGAGGGGAAGGTGAGGCAGCATCCCACCTTGAGATGAGAGAAAGCTGTTCTGGGGTTCCAGTGATTGGCAGCTAAGGTCACTGCTTTGCCCATACAGCCCAAGGCTGTTTCCGGTGCCCCCAAGTTCACCTCAAGGGTTATTGCACAGCAGAAGTGAGTTTTACATAGGTTGGGACACTCACACATAGGTAATGTAGAATAAATCTCATCCCTTCCTCACCCAGCAGGGGCAAGGCCTTGAGAAGGAGGACATCGTGTGGGTACAGGCCAACCCCATCATTACTCACCTCTCTATTCAGCAAACACTCAATGAGACAGCCACGGACCCTAGGGATGTAACGATGAAGGAGACACAGCTCTTCAACACCTGGCAAGGCAGAGACGCTTCAGTAGTCAACGACAGCCCCAGTGGACAGTAAGTGTGATGGCAGGGAAGCCAGCATGCAATGCCTGCACTCAGGAGGGACACCTGACAGGCAGCTGACCTTTTCATTTTTTTGAGACGGAGTCTCGCTCTATTGCCCAGTCTGGAATGTAGTGGTGCGATCTCGGCTCACTGCAATCTCGCCCAACCCCCAAACTGGGTTCAAGCAATTCTCCTGCCTCAACCTCCTGAGTAGCAGAAATTACAGGCATGCACAACTGTGCCTGGCTAATTTTTGTATTTTTAATAGAGTTTCATCATGTTGGTCAGGCTGGTCTCGAACTCCTGACCTCATGATCCGCCCGCCTTGGCCTCCCAAAGTGCTGGGATTAATTACAGGTGTAAGACACCACACCTGGCCAGCTGACCTTTCTTAAAATCTGTGTAGGTCTTGGGTGCAGTGGCTCACGCATGTAATCCCAACACTTTTTGGTAGGCTGAGGTGGGCAGATCACTTAAGCCCAGGAGTTTCAGACAAGCCTGGGGAATATGACAAAACCCTGTATCTACAAAAAATACAAAAATTAGCCAGGCACGGTGGTGCAAACATGTGGTCCCAGCTACTAAGGAGGCTGATGTGGGAGTATTGCTTGAGACTGGGAGGTCAAGGCTGTAGTGAGCTGTGGTCACACCACGCACTTCAGCCTTAGAAATAGAGCAAGACCATTGTCTTAAAAAAAAAAAAAAAAGTTGTGTAGGTGTCAGTCATCTGAACAACTGAAGAAGAAGAGAAAAAGAAAAGGCATTCTGGGAGAAGGAACAATGCGTGAGACAGAAGGACTGAAGAGAAACTTCACGTCCTGCAGTATGACAAGAAGCGTGGGCCGCAGGGAAGCACAGGCAGCAAATGAGAGCTGGTGGGCTCATCTATGTATGTCAAGCGCTGTTCTGTGTGCTGAGAGCATTGTGCTGACTGAGAGGGTGCTCCCTGCTCTCATGGTGCCTCCATTCCAGTAGACGGACCTATCAGAGTCATAAATGCGGTGCAGAAGATGACTGTGGAAAGGCGGGCACTACTTTGGTTTGGCAGCTGGAAGAATCTTTCTAGGGAGAGTTGAGTGATAACAGAGTCAGCCATGGCAGGGCACCGTGGCTCGTACATGTAATCCTAGCATTTTGGGAGGCCAAGGTGGGCAGATCACCTGATGTCAGGAGTTCAAGACCAGCCTGGGCAACATGGTGAAACCGTGTCTCTACTAAAAATACAACATTAGCCAGGTGTGGTGGCACACGCCTGTAATCCTAGCTACTCGGGAGGCTGAGGCAGGAGAATCGCTTGAACCCAGGAGGCGGAGGTTGTGGTGAGCCGAAATTGCACCATTGCACTCCAGCCTGGACAACAAGAGCAAAACTTCATCTCAAAAAACAAAAAACAAAGAAAGAGTCAGCCATGTGAAAATCAGGCACCCCAGGCAGAGGACACAGCTATCAAAAGGTGCCAGGCGACACAGCTGTTTAAGAATTTTTTTTTTTTTTGAGATGGAATTTTACTCTTGTTGCCCAGGCTGGAGAGCAATAGCACGATCTTGGCTCACCGCAACCTCCACCTCCCGGGTTCAAGTAGTTCTCCTGCCTCAGCCTCCTGAATAGCTGGGATTACAGGCATACGATAACATGCCCAGCTAATTTTGTATTTTTAGTAGATACGGGAGACAGGGTTTCTCCATGTTGGTTAGGCTGATATCAAACTCCTGACCTCAGGTGATCTGCCTGCCATGGCCTTCCAAAGTGCTGGGATTACAGGTGTGAGCTACTGTGCCTGGCTTTTTTTTTTTTTTTTTTTTTTTTTTTTTTTTTTTGCGATGGCGTCTCACTCTGTTGCCAGGCTAGAGTACAGTGGTGCGATCTTGGCTCACTGCAACCTCTGCCTCCTGCATTCAAGCGACTCTGCTGCCTCAACCTCCTGAGTAGCTAGGACTACCAGTGCCCGCCAACCATGCCCAGCTCATTTTTGGTTTGGCAGTTGGAAGAATACAGGTGCATACCATCTTACCCAGCTAATTTTTGCGTTTTTAGTAGACATGGGGTTTTACCATGTTGGCCAGGCTGGTCTTGAACTCCTGACCTCAGTGATCCACCTGCCTCAGCCTCCCAAAGTTCTAAGATTACAGACATGAGCCACCATGCCTGTCCTGTTTAAGGATATTTTTACAGGGGATCTGCTTTAAAAGACCCCTCTCCAACTCCACCTCTCTGGCCCTTTGAAAGAGTTATTACTGCATTAAAAATTATCCCAAAAATGGGCTGGGCATGGTGGCTCACGCCTGTAATCCCAGCACTTTGGGAGGCCGAGGTGGGTGATTCACGAGGTCAACAGATGGAGACTATCCTGGTCAACATGGTGAAACCCCGTCTCTACTAAAAAAAAAAAAAAAAAAAAAAAAAATTTAGCTGGGCACGGTGGTTCATGCCTGTAATCCCAGCTACTCAGGAGGCTGAGGCAGGAGAATTGCCTGAACCCAGGAGGCAGAGGTTGCGGTGAGCCAAGATCGCGCCATTGCACTCCAGCCTGGGTAACAAGAGCGAAACTCCGGCTCAAAAAAAAAAAAAAATTATCCCAAAACTTAGTAGCATAGGCCAGGTATAGTGGCAACATGGCAAGACCCCCATCTCTACTAAAAGTACAAAACTTATCTGGGTGTGGTGGCTCACACCTGTAGTTCGCAGCTACTGAGGAGGCTGAGGCATGAGAATCTATTGAACCTGGAAGGTGGCGGTTGCGGTGAGCTGAGATTGTGCCACTGCACTGTGGCCTGGGCGACAGAGGGAGATCTTGCCTCAAAAAAATAAATAAATAAAAAAGAAAGAAAAAAAAGGAAAGAAAACAAAAAGAAAGGGCATTGCAGATGTGATTAAATTAATAAATCTTAGATTAGCAGGGATGCAAAATGTCATTACAAAAGACTTTTATTTATTTTTTTAGACAGAGGCTCACTCTGTCACCCAAGCTGGAGTGCGATGGTGTGATCTTGGCTCACTTCAACCTCCGCCTCCTGGGTTCAAGCTATTCTCCTGCCTCAGACTCACCAGTAGCTGTGATTACAGGCACGTGCCACCATGCCCAGCTAACTTTTCTATTTTTAGTAGAGACTGGTTTTTGCCATGTTGGCTGGTCTCTAACTCCTGACCTCAGGTAATCCACCCGCCTGAGCCTCCCAAAGTGCTGAGATTACAGGTGAGAGCCACTGCACCTGGCCATAAGAAGCCTTATAAGTAAAAGAGGGAGAAAAGAGCATCAGAGAAAGAGATGTGTTGATGTGTGCAGAGGTTGGAGTGATGTGATTTCTGGCTTGGCAGATGGACGACGCCAGCAGTCAAGAAATGCTGGCAGCACCTGGAAGCTGGAAAGGCAAGGAAATGGATTTTCCCCGGACCCTCCAAGGAGAATATAGCACTACCTCTACCTTGATTTTCACCCAGTGAGACACATTTTGGATTTCTGATCTACAGAATTGTAAGATAAATCTAAGATCTTATAAACCCCTAGGCTTGTGGCCATTTGTTATAGCCGCAACAGGAAATTATTACGGGGGAATTGCTGCCATTAAGGTATGTAGGGGTAGAAGCAGATTTGGGTACAGCGAACACTTACATTTTACACACAGTAAGTTTATGGGGCCCAGGTGCAGCTGTGCAATAGCTGAGTATCTGAGGCTGGAACTCGGGAGGAAAGTCTGGCTGGCAGAGGATACTCAAGGATATCAGGGTTTTTAGGAGAAATGGAAACCATAAAATGAATGAAGGATGAGAATGAGCAGATATGGAGGATGGCAGAGGAGCCCTTGAAGGAGAGAAAGAACAATTATCCCGGATTAACTACTTCATCTCCTAACAAAGGCAGTAAAGTGATAGCATAGTGAAGACTTTAGTTTCATTCTGCTGATTCTCCGGGGTCTGCCTTTTATTTTTCAGGCTGCCTGGATCCCCAGAGTTTGTCTGGAAAGCCTCTTGAGATGGGGTTATGTGCTCCTATGATCCCAGGAGGAGGGATGGGGCAAAAGAGACAAAGCTGTGCCTCCGCAGCAGCCATGCCATCATCCTGGGAGTGAGCTCCAGGTGTGGCTCAGGCACATATGCATCCAGAGCACAATCTGGGATCCTCAGGGGACAGAGGGGCAGAGGGACTATCAGGGTGAAGCTGTCTTTTTCATTTACTTGGCGCTCAGCCCAGGGCCTGGATTTATCCTGCAGGAAATGAGCAATGCAGGCCCCTTCATCTGGGGAAAGGCCAACCAGGGCACCTAGCAGAGCTAGGAGGTCCAGGTCCTCCAGTTCCAGGGAGGGAGGAAGCTTCTTTCCAGATATTTTCTTTTCTAGGTAGAGGATCGTGGTGACTCATCTCCAAGTTCAACTGTAAAGGCTAAGGGGCTCCTTGAAGTTTCCTTCCCTATGAAAATGTCCATAGTAAGTTTGTCACTTAGGAATGTTTTTCAATGATGGGAAACAGAAAAGTCAACTAGTAGGAGATGAAATAAATTGAGATTTTTTTTTTTAATAGCAAGAAGTCTGGATATTGTCAGTAGCTGGCATTGGTTTAGGACACAATAATACTGAGAACGACAACCTGTATTTTTCTTGGACTTTTTCTTAGAGTCACAATATGGATGCCATGGCTCCAGGTATCACATCCCTATTCAAGGCAAGATACAGGAGGAAGGGATGGTGCCAGACACATCTGTCTCATTTATTAAAAAGCAAGCTTTTCCAAAACCCAAGCAGGTTTCTGCCTGTCACTGACAGGACACTGTCAGATGTTCCCTACAGCTACAGATGAAAAAAAAAAAAAAGATGTTCATTTTTCCAGCCTCTAGAATGTAAGGGAAAGGAGGTTCAGAATGGGTGTGGGGTAAGCCAGTCTATAATTAAATAAATGTTAGTTGACCCAAACTGCTTCCCCTTAAAAGAGACATGTTTTTCCATATGAAGGCATCCCTGGTATAAAGAATCTCTCACCCATGTCAAAGACCCCTCACTCACCATACCTGGGCATCCCCTGGTGATCTACCCAGGCAGCTGCTGCCATGGGCTATGGCCCATTAGCATCTCTTTCTCTCTCTCTCTCTTTTTTTTTTTTTCCTGAGGCAGAGTCTTAATCTGTAGCCCAGGCTAGAGTGCAGTGGCATGATCTTGGCTCACTGCAACCTCTGCCTCCCAGGTCCAAGCAGTTCTCCTGCCCCAGCCTACCAAATAGCTGGGACTGCAGGTGCACACTGCCACCCCCAGCTAATTTTTTTGTATTTTAGTAGAGACAGAGTTTTACCATTTTTGCCCAGGCTGGTCTTGAACTCCTGAGCTCACGCCACCTGCCCACCTCAGCCTCCCAAAGTGCTAGGATTAAAGGTGTGAGCCACCACGCTCAGTCTCTCTCACTCTCTCCTTCTCTCTCTCAGAGAAAATGTCAAACCGGTTATCTGGATAGTGACTAGCTCTCACTTTTCAACCAGCTGCCTGGACTTGAAGAGCCAGCTGGCACCCAGGCCTTGGGTATGTGGGGGCCTCCTTCCAGCCAGCTCTCCTCCTCTCCTTCTCCCCTCATTTCTGCTGTTTCTTCCACCTGGTCCCACCTGATCTCCACATCTGTTTACCCTTAGCTTGGGCTGCCTCTCATTGGTTCTCTCTCACCTGCAGATGGAGTATCTCCGAAGCTGACTACACAACCGACACCTCCCTCCCTCCCTGCCCACCCTTGTCCTCTGCACCCCTCGGGAGTGGGCTGGCAGGAAGACCCAGCTTCCTAACCACAGGGCCCTGCCGGGTGCACACACAGTACCAGGATTCCCCGGAGCAATGCGATGCTGTCAGATGGATTGGGAGGGTCAGGCTCTGGGAGAGATCCTGACGGACTCACAGGCATGACTCTGGTGGGCATCTGCCCACAAGAACATGAAGACAGGCACCTGCCCATCCTCAAGCACTCCTGGGGTCTCCTGCTTGAGTGGGCACATTTTTGCTTCTTCTGGGTTGCAGGGAGCTCATTGGCATGTCCTTTGTAGGGTACAGCAGCCAGCCTACGAGTGTCACAGCAGGAGTCCATAGCAGCAGCCTCGCCCAGCGAGTATGTTACATCTTCTGGTGATTACCAGACAGGAGTCACTCCCATCGACCCTGAATCCCAATAGCCTGGAAATGGGGTGGGGTGCTAAACAGGGGTAGGTGGACACAGGAATAATTTCCAAAAGTCTAGGTTAGCCACTCTGCTGTGTTGGTGAAGGCTGTGAGGGTCTGGACAAAGGGAAAAGTCCTAAACTGTTGTAGAAATATAAACTGGCTTAGTGTTTTTGGAGGACAATTTAGCCTTACCTTTCTTTTTTTTTTTTTGAGTCTCACTCTGTGGTCCAGGCTGCAGTGCAATGGCACATTGTGCCCTAGTGCAGTCATGGCTCACTGCAACCTTCACCTCCTGAGCTAAAGTGATCCTCCCACCCCAGCCTCCCAGGTAGCTGGGACTACAGGCATCATCATGGCTGGCTAACTTTTGGTATTTTTTTGTAGAGACAGGGTCTCGCCATGTTGCCCAGGCTGGTCTCGAACTCCTGAGCTCAAGCAATCCGCCTGCCTCAGCCTCCCAAACTGCTGAGATTACAGGTGTAAACCACCGTGCCCAGCCACCTATCAAATTTTATTTTACTTTATTTTATTTTTTGAGACCAAGTCTCACTCTGTTGCCCAGAGCTGGAGTGCAATGGTGCAATGACAGCTTACTACAACCTCCGCCTCCCAGCTTCAAGTGATTCTCCTGCCTCAGCCTCCTGAGTAGCTGGGACTACAGGCATGCAACACCACACTCAGCTAATTTTTGTATTTTTAGTAGACACAGGGTTTCACCATGTTGGCCAGGCTAGTCTCCAACTCCTGACCTCAGGTGATCTGCCTGCCTCAGCCTCCCAAAGTGCTGGGATTACAGGCATGAAGTACTGTGCCCAGCCACCTATCAAATCTAGGCTGCAGATTTATTTCCACGTATGTATTATCTTAGCAAGCTTTCTCCCAAGGATTTGGGGGAAACGGGATTTACATTTTCTACTTCACACACACACACACACACACACACACACACACACATTTTGAGATGGAGTCTTGCACTTGTTGCCCAGGCTGGAGTGCGATGGTGCGATCTTGGTTCACTGTAATCTCTGCCTCCCCGGTTCAAGTGATTCTCCTGCCTCAGCCTCCCGAGTAGTTGGGATTACAGGCATGCGCCACCATGCCCAGCCAATTTTTGTATTTTTAGTAGAGACGGGGTTTCTTCATGTTGGTCAGGCTGGTCTCGAACTCCCAACCTCAGGTGATCCGCCCACCTTGGCATCCCAAAGTTCTGGGATTACAGGCATGAGCCACCGTGCTTAATTATATTTATATATTTTTTGTGATGAGCATATATTAACTTTCTAATTATAAAAATAGCAAAAGGGTTACCAACATTTCCCTATACTTTAAATGTGTATTAGTATAGGTAAACATATTTGCATCACCCTGGGGAAAACTCTGGCCTAGGGACTCCTGAATTCTGCGGTAGAGGTTTTTAACAAATCAGCAGAGTCAATGGGGACATGCGGTGCCCAATAAGGGGATTTGGGGGCCATCAGAGAGGACAGAGCACCCGGCTGGGGGCAAGGGCTGCCTCTTCTCCCCAGAGACCTAGACCCTCAGCATCCAGTTTATTAAGGTGAAAAAATAGAAAACAGGAAGAGAAAAAAATATAGCAGACAATAAAAAAAAAAGACGAAGTAAATTAAAAGAAATAAAGATTATTACAACGATATAAAAGACAGTATGCAACTAAATGATTAAACTAAAAATAGCCCCCTACTCAGCACGAGGCTCTCTAAGGCCAGTCAACTCTGGAGGTTGCCAAACGCAACCACAGGTTCCCCACAAGCCCCACAGCCTGCACTGCACCCACCGGGAGGAGGGCCAGGAAGGCAGGGTTCGCCTTGCTGCTTAGTCCTAGGTGAGGACCTGGGCTGTTCCTTTGTTCTTCATGACCAAGCTGGAATCTGGTGGGGCTGTTCAGACAACCTGAGTGAAGACTTGGGTCCCTCAGAGGGGCGTCGGAGCATGGAGACGTGTGTGTCCTTGCAAGTGAGTTTTGACCAGGTATGCTGGCTCTGAGTCCCCTGTGGCCCTGGTCCCAGCCTGCTTCCAGACCTCCCAGGCCTGCCTTCTCCTCCCTTCAGAGAGAGAGAGTGATCTCCAGGCTTTCTTATGGGGGACCTTCTGAGCCCCTAGGCACTCTCAGGCCACTTTTCCTGGGTCTCAATCCTTCTAAGGATCTGCCCACAACTAGGGCAATTGTCAGATGTGCATTCCCTATAGAACAAAAGGACAGAGCAGGTTTCGCCTTAGCTCTGAGCAGAGGGTTTAACCAGCCTCTCTCTTCACAGCAACACATTTCCCAAGGTCGGGGTTCTTCAACCTGGCACAGCCTCGTAAGGAAACCTTGGCATGCCCCTGGGTGTGTCTAAGATTCCCTTAGTCTGGCTTTAAAGGGCACCTCTGGCTGGACATGGTGGCTCCGGCAGGGCGTGGTGGCTCACTCCTGTAATCCCAGCACTTTAGGAGACTGAGGTAGGCGGATCACCTGAGGATGGGAGTTCAAGACCAGCCTGACCAACATGGAGAAACCCCGTCTCTACTAAAAATACAAAAATTAGCTGTGCGTGGTGGTGTATGCCTGCAATCCCAGCTACTCAGGAGACTGAGGCAGGAGAATCGCCTGAACCGGGAGGCTCAAGTGGTGAACAGAGATGGCACCACTGCACTCCAGCCTGGCCAACAAGAGCAAAACTCTGTCTCAAAAATAAATAAATAAATAAAAATTTAAAAATAATTTTTTTAAAGGGCACCTCTGCCAAGCTGGGGAGAATATTGTGTCTTGCTATCCCGCTGGCAGCTTCCTCCCTGTGCCCCGTCTCGCAGTGGCTAGAACAGGACCAAATCCTCACTCTACAGGCACAATGCCTTCTGTAACTTATGGAAAAGAAGCTCCTATTGCCAGGGGAAATATTAAGTAGTACACGTTGTTGCATCCTCACCAACAAGTGCTGAGTACTCCTGAGCACTTAGGAGGCT